CAGAAGAGGATGGGGAAGCAGAACAGCAAGCTGCGCCCCGAGGTGCTCCAGGACCTGCGCGAGAACACTGAATTCACGGACCACGAGCTGCAGGAGTGGTACAAGGGCTTCCTAAAAGATTGCCCAACAGGCCATTTGACTGTAGAAGAATTCAAAAAAATATATGCAAATTTTTTTCCCTACGGCGACGCCTCAAAGTTTGCGGAGCACGTCTTCCGCACCTTTGACACTAATGGCGACGGGACGATTGACTTTAGGGAATTCATCATCGCCCTGAGCGTCACCTCTCGAGGCAAGCTGGAACAGAAGCTGAAGTGGGCGTTTAGTATGTACGACCTGGATGGCAATGGGTACATCAGCCGTGGGGAGATGCTAGAAATAGTGCAGGTGAGGCATTATGTCTATTTTATATCTCATTTGTGTTGCTGTAACCTCTTCACCCCGAGACAGCTGGAGATGGAGATAAGGGACATGCTGAGCTGAGTCACTCCTGCCCCAAGGAGGTTTCTGAGCCCATGGTCCCCAAAGGGACACTGGGGTCCATGGTGGGACCTCCGAGATGCAAATGAGGAAAGGGCCTGAGACGTGAACCCGACACTTGTGCAACTGGACCACAGCCAAAATCATGCAGCTCTCCCTGGGGATTTCTTAATGGGGTCTTGAGAGGATAAAAAAAACCCTAAATACAAATTCTACTGACCTGAGTAATCTCAAAAATAATACTTTGAATCTTCAAATCTGAGTCAATGTGAACTCTGGATGAAAGACTGGAGTGTGTCTTTGTCCCCAGAAGGCAGGGGACAAGTAGACCACAGGCTGTAGTGGACGGTGTGCAGGGCAGAGCCCCCTGTGCCCCTACCCCACATGCTGACCAGGGCTCAGCCCAGGGGCAAGCTGTTCACCATCTGCTTTGCAGCTGAGATGAGTTTCCCATGCACTGCAAGGGAGTAATGCATCAGGCAGTGCCCCGACACTTAGTCCTCATGGCTGAGGTGGGATAATTTAGGTGGAAGGCTAGGATTGCATACAGCCTAAGGAGATATCATCTTTATTCACATTCTTGTAAGTCTGAAAATGCATTTCCTTACCCATCCACAAAGAAAAACAACTCCTATTCCTATATATTCATATTCACCATAACCCATATAACACCCCACATGCATACATGCATACTGTGTGATGGAAGCCAGCCAAAGAGGTGGTGGCTTAGCCCAGTTGCAGAAGAGAGAATTGACCACTATTGCCTCCTGTATTTTAGCTCAGTCCTGCTTGTGCATTAATTCAAACCCTGACTTTCATTTAAACTGACCCAGCACTCCCTTTGAAGCACAGATGAATACAGGAAAGAAAAACAAAAAAAGCTGCAGTCAAAAATTCCCATTTGTTTTGCTTTATAAAGTCCTGCAGCTGCCTGCCAGGGTCAGCTGCCTTTTCTTATTGCTACAGGCTTAAATTCTTTTTCTTTGTCCTGGTGCTTTATCATTTGGGTTGTGTTTTTGCTATATTTTTTTTTACTTCCTTTTTTTTTCTTTTCGAAACTCAGGCAATTTACAAAATGGTTTCATCAGTAATGAAAATGCCAGAGGATGAATCCACTCCTGAGAAACGAACAGACAAGATCTTCAGACAAATGGACACAAACAATGATGGTAGGATCACCACCAGCACTCCTTCCTAGGCTCTAGAAAGAGAGGTTTTCTAGCCCAGGCTTGGTAGATAATGGTATTTGGGGAGAGGGGGTAGAGGGTAAGTATCCTTAGTAGTAAGGATTCATATTTCCCAA